TCTTTCTTTCTTTTGAAATTTTTTTTAGAAATGCTTTAATTTTGAGAACTTCTGACTGGCCCCGAGAGCTGAGTTTGCAAACGCATCGCTTTCTTGAGCCAATGGTGTAAAAGGTTTCTATTTTCCACATCCTTCCTAGACCTTCCTTACCTCCATTCTCTGATTTCATGGTGTGCCTAAGACCTTATTTTCAATGTATTATTCCACACCAGCACTGCTGGTAGTTACAACGGTGTGTTAAAAGGAAAAAGGAAAAAAAAAGAATGGTCAATTTTCTTTTTTTAATGAACAACAAAGGAAAAACTTAGAAGTTAATTATGCAAATCTGCAGCCTAGGTTGGGTCCTTTCAGTGCCCATTCAATAATACCACTTCAATACCCAAACTCTACAAAACAGGCTGCGTCTAGAGTTGTAACATTAATGAAAAGGAGTGGTGAAGTAATTAAAGCAGGACGGGAGTCGTGACTCAAAGGTCATATTAGCAGTTCCATTAAAACTTAAATAATCCTGGCCAAGTAAATTAAGACTCCCTCTGCTTCAGTGCAGCTATTTAAGAGAAAATAAAAAAGTAGGATTAATATTACAGCTGAAAGATGTATTATAAGCAGTCCACATATTTTCTATCTGAGAATCAGATGTTCCAGTAAGAATATTTAAATAGAGTGGTGTGCACTCCCAGTTCCATAAGGCCAGAGAGAAAGAGGAAAACTTTCCAAAGAGAATGAAGGTGTCATGAAAGCCACTTAAAAATGACCTCAAGTATGAACTATATGTGTAGCTGTTCCTCTTGAGTATATGAAAGAATGCAAATCTCAGATAATACAAAGATTAACTATATTCTTGAAGGTTCTCAAATCCTTTAATCATAATCACCTTATTAACCAGATCATGAAAATGTAAGCACAAGATCCTGTGACCTCAAGTCGGGATACCCTGGGGTGGATCCCTAGAATCTGAATATTCGAAACTCCCAGGTCAATTAGATGAGATGATCATAAGCGTTTGGGAGATGGTCAAGAGAGAAAGGCTTCTAATTAGAGTGTTAGGGTTCACCCAGAAGAAAAGCATGATAATCTTTCGAAAGATCTAATTTTGGAAGGTCTGCTTCTGAAGAGTTCTGTCAGAAACACTATGGAACCTAGCTTCTGCCTGGAAACTCATGCTTTTCTGATGAGTCACAATCACCTACATGGAAACATTATAATTACTTTTAGGAAGCTCTGGTAGCCTAGTGGGTAAGGAGCTATACTGCTAACCCAAAGGCAAGTGGTTCAAATCTACCAGGTGGTCTGAGAGAGAGAGAGAGAGAGAGATGAACAACCTCCTCCCATGCAATTGATTAACAGACTCAGAAAACCCACCACAGGGGTAGGCATGGATCAGTTTGACCTGATGGTACCTAGTAACGATAATATTATTAGTGGTTTATGAGTTCAAGACGCAGTTTGTCCTTTTAAATCTTCTATCACAAATCCTATTTGCACTGCTAAATGTTCTACAAGTCCTTTTTATGGATACAAGACATACTTTTCACAGCCTCTGTCATTAGCTTTTTATCTTATAAATTAAATGCATATACAGCAAATTAGTATTTCTTTCCATGGTCATGGCATTTTTTAAATGATTTTTTATCCATTATTTGTTTTTATTAGAATCTGTGAAACACATGAGAATCCCATTTTGTTAAAGCCCTTTTTCTTTTTTAAGCTAATTAGCAAGGTTATAAACTTACAAGCATATGTCCAAGATTATCTGGACATCATCAGTCCTAGTGTGAGTATTCTGACCCCATTTTCCATAACATACACTTTTTAGACCATATTTATAAAAAAATTCTGGGTTAAAGATAATTCTTGTTACAAGTTTTCGGGAGGGAAAAAGTTTTTTTGTTTCCTTTTTTGTTTGTTTGTTTGTTTTAAGTAGGCAAATGCCACATCATTTTGGCATAGAAGCTGGACCATTAGGATTTCTGAGAAATTATTATTAACTGTTGCTTTATTTCTAGTTTCTGTCATGGCTTTCAATTTTTGCCTCTTGATTAGGCTCCAGAAGAAAAAGAAAAGCTCTGTTGAAAAGGATCTGAGGAAAACTAGATTCTGATTCTTTAGAAATTGAGAAAAGGGCTATATTTAACACTGAGCAAATTGTCATTTGAGTTCTGTTTGATCTAGGCTTTATTTGTATTCTATGGCTTCTCTGTTACATAAGAGTTTAATTTCCTGATAATTTCTAGTTACTGCTATGGCAATATATAAGCAGCAATTGTGACTAGGTTGTATAAAAGTTTCCTTTGTAAGTATCAGTATCAGTTTGGATTACGTCTCTTTCTAAAGTCCTTAGGGAGTTGGGCTGGTAACTCAAAGGCCATGCCTCTCTGGTGGTTCGAATCCACCATCAGCTCAGAGGAAGAAAACTGGGCACCCTTCTCTCATGTGATTTACAGCCTTGGCAAACCACTAGGGGGTCAGTAATGACGTAGCGCCAAACCAGCTCAATGGCAGGGTTTCAGAAATGCAATGCAGGCATTCAGATGCTCTTTAAAGAAGAATATACTGGCTTCTCATAATCGTAACGGAGTCGCCCCGTTCCTGAGACAGCTCGTGGTATTAATCTTAGAACATTTTCACTCTTTTGAAATCCTGCCCGATCAACTTGACAGGTGCATTTGATGGTCAGTCTTGATTGGCCGCACCTGGAACCGTTCTTCTGGAACGTGAGTGAAAGCTAAAACCTCACTTTGTGAGAAACATCCTATACCCCTTTCTGTTCCTTTCTGCAAAGTTGAAAATTCAGTATGCGGATTAAAACTTAATACTACCTTGTTTAAAAATAATCTCTGTTGGAATCTCTTTTAACGTAGTGAATGATTCCTTTATCTACAGATTTTTCAAAGGACAGTTCTGTTGCCTGCTCTCTGCAAGGAGAAAATGAATGTCTCATTACCTTCCTAATAACCACAGATAACGAGGGGAGAACCTTCATTCACGGCATCAGTGAGAAAGGTGGGTGGTTCCCCCCCCCCGTCAATGGTGAGTGATACTGCACAGAAAAGGTGAAAACAGTTAGAAACAGTTTGTGTAGCCTGTCAGGAAAGACATTTCCAAAGTTTTTATGAAGTGCCTCTTTACTTTCTCAAGTATAGAAAGACACTTGTTAGAAGGTTTGCCATTTCTCAGTGTCTCTAAGAACAGATAACAAAATGAATTGTCTTTTTACCAGTCATGAACTCCTATCCATTTGCCTTGGCTGAAAGACAGCCTGATTAAAAGAAATATAAGCAAAAGAAGGCTCTTTAGCTAAGAGTGTCAAAGAGAAGCAAAAACGAGAAGGCTATTTATTGCTAACTTTTTATTGATTAGAGTAAGTTTTAATTAAAGTTTACAGAGAGTTAATTGGTTTTCCATTCGACAAGTCATACAAATTATGCTTCATGACCTAACTTGCAATATTCATATTATGACAGCATTCCTCTCATTTCCTCCTGTGAATCTCATTTCCATATATCCCTCTGTCCTATTCTTCCCTTGCTGTTACGCTTTATCCTTGGGTAAGTTTTGCAGTTTTCATTGTATATGGTTGATTGTTCTAAGAAGCTTCTTCCTCCCAAGTATTATTTATCATCTTATAGGCCTAGAAAGAGAGAGAGCTCTGGTGGCATCATGGCAAGAAGCTGTGCTGCAATTATAAAGGCACGTAGTTCAAAGCTACCAGATGCTCTATGAGAAATGGATGGGCAATCAGCCTCCTCCCTTGCAATTTACTGCTTCTGAAAACCCTCTGGAGGGTCAGTTATGGGTCAGTTCTGACTCTATGGTACACAAAAACAACAGGTCTATATATGATTTGGCTGGAAGGTGAGTCACAGGGGTATTTTCTTTCAGTTTCAGGCTTGACAGGAGCCCAAAGGCCATGGTCTTTGAAAGTCTGTCAGTTTCCATCAGATCAGTAAGCTTGGTCATTTTTATGATTTTAAGTTTTGTTCTATATTTCTTTTCCCCCTACTGTACATCCGCTTCCTAAACAACATGCCTTGGGAAACTCTATGAACTTTGATAAATGACAATAGTTGTACAAAGGTTTCAGGCACTTTGTTCAATAGGGTTGCTATGAGTTATGCTTGACTTGATAGCAATCAACAACACAATAACAGCTGTATGTAGAATCAGTTTCAATTCATAGTGACATTCTGTCAGTTTCTGAGACATAAATCTTAACAGGAGAAGACTACTCATCTTTCTTCCTCAGATGGTGGGTGCATTTGAACCAGGGGAGACACTTAGCCTTTGGGTTAGCACCACAGACGATGCCGTGAGAGCTCTCTCCCACTCTGACAGGGCACTTCTACTCTGATCCCTTTCAGCATGGTCAGAAACTGCTCACCAAAGTAGGAGGTAGATAGAACATTGCCTTTATAGACTCTGATGCCAATAGACTTTGATATCCCACTTGATTATGCTTCAGAGCTCCAAGACCAAGTGATGCATTTACTGAAGGTATTTGATTATGCTGAAGAAGTTTTTCTAATTTTGCCCCGTTTAATGTATACAGATTTATTTATAACACAAACAGATAGGAAAATGAGTTTTGAAACAGGCAAAAAATTTGGTTCAATTCCTTTCTGTTATTTAATAGCAGTTCAACATTCTGAAAGCTATTTACCCTCTGAGTGTTTCTTCATTTGTTAAATGGGGGAAAAACAGTACTTTATTCCAGGGATTGACTCTAGGATTAAGTGGAATAATGCATATAAATGCCTGACCTACACTAATGAGTCATTACAAGACAGTGTTGAATCACAAGACACTAATGAGCAAATGAGAAAGGATGTGATTTGCAGAGGATGTCAGAGAGTCCCTGCTTTGGCAAATTTCCATCCATGGCATCAACCTAGGACTCGAAAGTACTGAAATGAAAACCAAGCCTATCTTCAGTGAAGAGAGAACAGACTCATTTATGTTATGTAGAAAAGAAATATGTAGTGAAGATATTTTCATTTCAAACTCAAACCCAGTTATGTGGAGTTCGAAGCAACTTTCTGACCACCCTCCGTTTGCTTTCTGCGACTAAATCATACAGAAGGGAGTTGCTCATCTTTATCCTGTGGAAGTGCTGGTGGAGTTGAACAGCGAGAGAGGCACTGTCTTCAGGGTAGCAGCACAACTAGCTGTGGCTTGTGACACCAGAGCTCCCTATGCTTTGATTTAGACATTCTCAAATTTTAGTCATCACACTCACCTGGGAGCTAGTAAGGAAAATAAATGTACAATAACCTGCATCCTAGTCAGTAGACCAGCTGAGTGGCCCATGAGTCTGCATTCTCAAAACTACACACATGACTGATGCAGATGGTCTCAGGTCCTCCATTTGAATATCGCTGCCCTCACCCGTTCTGTCCTCTAAATGATGTCTCCCTTAACGTCTTTCTGAGAAAAGTGACAGCTGCATTATGTCAGATCTCAGCAGCTCCTATTAGAGACATTCTCCTCTACTCAAAAGCTTAAAATCCAAATTCTGTCCCAGACAAAAGCAGCAAGGCTGATTTTAAGACATATGTGCTTTGTGTTTGTGCTTGAGTATCCTGTGCTGATGAAATATACTTTTTAATCTTAACTTGAACCAAAGGTATCACACTGATAACTCTTGGGTCTGAAGGGCATTATGCTAAATGAAGTAACTCAGTCTCATAAAGACAAATATTGTATACGATCATTATTGTAGAATAAGTACGAGGGTCCAAGGTGGGGAGGGAGGAGCAGAGGGGTGAAGTGTGTGTGTGTGTGTGTGTGTGTGTGTGTGTGTGTGTGTGTGTGTGTGAATAATAGGACTGCACAATTTGATAAGTGGAGGGAGTGGTGGATAAAGGAAAGGGGGGGAATCTGGTATGAAAACAATGGATATAAACTTTGTAAGTAAACCAGTATAAAATCATTTTTTTTAAAAAAAGATATTAAACTGATACCTCTTAGGTTCCTCATTTCACACCATATGCAAAAATCAACTAAAGGTAGATCAGAGACCTGGGAATAAAGCCCCAAACCATAAACTTTATGAGACAAACTTAGAGGGCCAGTCTATGGTATAAAGAAACTGCCATATACAGCCAGAAATGAAGTCTAGAGAGGATAAAATTGATGAATGGGACCTCCTAAAGACTAAATCTCTGTGTGCATCAAAAAACATTTTCCAACAGAGTGAAAAGAAAATTTGTTGACTTGGAAAAAACATCTGGCAATACTATTTCAGACAAGGGTCTCACATCAAAAGTTTACAGAATCTTACAGGGCCTCCACAAGAAAAAACCTGATAACATAATTACAAAATGGTCAAAAGACATGGGAAGAATTTTCACAGAAGATATCCGTATGACCAACAGACATGAAGAAATGCTCAAAATCACTGGCAGTAAGAGAGATACAAATCAAAACCATAATGAGATATCATCTCACGCTAATATCAGTGGCAAAGTTTAACAGGGCATCAAGTACTAAATGTTGGAGAGGCTGTGGCAATTTAGGAACTCTTATACACTGTTGGTGGGACTGTAAAATGGTACAACCACTCTGGAAGGTAGTTTGGCGTTTCCTCAGAAAGCTGAACATAGAAATTCCATATATCCCAGCTATTCCACTGCTTGGAATATACCTTGAGAGAAGGAGAACTGGGTACAAGTGGAGACTATACACCAGTGTTCATAGCAACATTATTTACCATTTCAAGAACAGCCCAGATGTCCAACCACAATGAAATGAATTGAGAAATTATGGTACATCACGTGATGGAATACTATGCAGCACACAGGAGCAGTGATTTTGTAAATCACTACCTAACTTGGGAGGGACTGGAGAGCATTATGTTAAGTGAACTAACTCAGTCCCATAAGGACAAATGTTATATAAGGCTGTTATTGTAGAATGTGTATGAGGAGCCAAGGGAGGGGGAAGCAGAGGAGTGAGGATGAGTGATGGTGGAGGGGTGTTAATTTTAGGATTGCATAAATCAGTGGGGGGAGGGAAGGGTGAGGAAAGGAAATGGGAAAGATCTGTTGTGAAAAACAAGGTATATGAACTTTTTAAGTTAACCAGTATAAAATAAAAATTTTATTTATTAAAAAAGGGTATAAAAACCGAGGAGTGTAAGCAGTAATGCAATGTCACTATTAACTAAAAAGATATTATAAGCAGCTAAAGAAAGCAAGATAAGAAAAATAACACACTGTAGGGCAAGGGAGAGGAAAAGGTCATGACAGTAAAAGCTCAGCCCAGGTTATGAACATGACCTAGATGCCCTCGTGGACAGAGTGCACCTCGAGACTTACTCTAGAAATCCTCATGTAAATGGAATCAACTTCTTTAGAATGCATATATAAAAAACACATTACTTAAGGAAACATAAAGTGAATCCTTACATGCAACAATTACTGGAAATACCATAAAGCTACTTCTCCGTTGTCTATTTTATAAAATCTAAGTTCTTCAACTATACCCCCTGTTTGTGACCAATAGTAGCTTTAAGTAAGTCATGTGGAAATAAAAGTTGTTCCTTATAACTTTCATTTTATTGGGGAAAATTTGTTTCAGACAACAAAAACAAGTTTGCTGGTTTGAGCCCCCTGCCCCTCCCCTCATGGTGGGTGTCTGAGCCGCTGCTTTGATTCCACACAGAATTGCAGCCCATGGCGGTGCAGGCCTGCAGAGCACAGATGAAATGGGAAGACGTGATTAATGATTCCCAGAATCTTCTGAGAGAACTAAGAAACCACGTGAGGCTTCAGCGTCAGGGTGCCTGTGGACATGGAACTTGGCTCATCTTCTCTCACGTCTGGAGGGAATTGCCGAGAATAAGAGCCTCGTTGGGAGTCAGGGAATGATGCTTAGGAAGGAGCCTTTCTGGCTAGAAGCGACAAGCAGTGTGAATGTTACACACAAGCTTTCAACATGAATGTTCCAGATCCTTGAGGTTTTGAGGATGGGAAAGAGGGAGGGGTACATTTATCGCAGCAGCAGTGGCAGCAGCAGCAGCAGCAGCAGCAATAGTTGTTGTAGTAATAGTAATATAACAATTTTAACTCGTGAAGTATTTACAAACAGCAATTGTTGTTCTGTATGTTTCCCATATGTTAATCTATTTAGTATCCTCAACAACCACATAAAGGCACTGCTATTATTTCTATTGATGGGTAAATTAACTGAGCAGGTTGTTACTGTGTGTGATTGAACTGATTTCATCTCAGCGTGATCTGTAGGGCAGGGTGGAGCTGCCTCACAGGATTTCCTAGGTGATTTGAATCCACCAGGTAGCCCAACAGGAGAAAGATGGGCAAACACCTCCTATTAAGATTCCACCAACCTTTCATTTAAAAGCTGAGTGCTTAATTATTGTCTTTAATTGAGGTAAAGAAAAGTTAAAAAATTTTCTGGGTTGTAGCAATTAAGTGCCAGAGTTGGTCAGAAGTTCAAGCAGCCTTTCAAATTAAACTCATTCTCTCAACCACTGTGCTACACTGCCTCCCACTGGCTGTATAATCATCATGAACATCTCAATCCCAACAATATGTCCGACCAGCACTGCTCAACATAAATATTAAGCAAGCTACATACATTATTTTAGGGAGCTCTGGTGGCCTACTGGTTAAGGAACTGCGCTGTTAACCCAAAAGTAAGTGACTCTAATATCCCAGCAGCTCTTTTAGAGAGAGATGGACAGTCTCCTCCCATGCAATTTACAGCCTCTGAAAACCTGCTGCAGGGTCAGCTAAGAGCTTATTCAACTCGATGGTACATGGCAATAACATACATCATTTTAAATTTCATTTCAATTCTAACGCATGGCAGTCTCGTGTGTGAGACTAGAACTGTGCTCCAGAAGATTTTCAGTGGATGGAGTATTCAGAAGCAGGTTTCCATACATTTCTTCGAGGCACTTCTGGATAGATTTGGTGGCTTTAACTCTCCATCCTTTGGGCTAGCAGTCAAGCACATTCACCATTTGCACCACTCAGGAATTTCATTTCAATTAGTGTCTATCACTGATCTTGACTTGACAGGCATCAGTGCGTCCAGTGATAAAGTCTTCTTCCACCCAGAAAAAGGTATTCAGACTTATCATCGCAGTAAACACTAGAGTATAAAAAGTAGCATTTTCTGTTCTATCATATGTGCTTAAAGAGCCATGGTGGCTTAATGGCAAGGAGGTGCCAACCCAAAGGCGCAGGGTTGAATTCCACCAGCTTGCTGGAGGGTCAGCCATGAGTAAGTTCTAACTTGTCAGAATGTAACAACAGCAACAACACAATAGGGGAAATCTTTTCTTGAAAATTATGACTCTCCATGACATTGTTGTTGTTATGTACCCACTTATACTTAGCCCTTCAGCAGATGTTTGGAGGCAGTAAATTGCATAGGAGGAAATTGCCCGTGGAGTAACTGGTGGATTCAAACTGTGTGCCTTTGGGTTAGCAGTGCAATTTCCTGACACTAAGCAATCATGACATCAAGCTTTTAAAATAATTTTCTTCTGCCATCTTCTCATCTATTCTTCCATTATTCCCCACTAAAGGGTTCCCCTGATTCATATTCTGATTGCATGGTCTTAGCCACATTTCATCTTGCTTTGAGCAGGAACATGTTATGCCCCACCCCAGACATTTCTTAGTCAAGATGGGCCGAGTGTATATTCCCATCGACACGAGCTTGCTGCTTTCTTCCCAGGAGTGTTGCTAACCTATTAGAGGCAGCCACGGTTCATTTGCTATGCCAGAATACAGGCTTTAGATCTCCACACCTACTGTAGCTCTTTCATTAGCTTCTTTACTTATTTCTGCATAATCTCCTTACATGGCTCTTTGGCCAAAGAACAAAAGTGTGTGAGCCCAGGCATCATGCTGCTAGGGGGTCATTAGTCCCACTCAAATTCAAATTGGCTATAGATCTTTCCCTTGAAAGCAGTGTGACTATTCCTATGTGTATAACTCTCCTTATTAAATATCTAAAAGCAATAAGAGTTGGGATAAACTAAGCATGATTTATTTCTTCCCCAGATACCATGAATTTTGCCTGACTTCTTGCAGAGGGACGCAGATATTTAATGATATTTTTAATGTGGATTTTTTTAATGTAAGAAGAGAGCTTAATTATAATGTTTCATTAAGAAATGCATCATCTCCTAGGCATATTGCAAGGATTATTAGTCATTGTGCTGTCAATGAGGGAAGACACTGGATAATTGCAAAATTATATTAATACCATCAGCAAAGGCAAAATAATGTTTTATAGGATATTGAGAGGACCATAGAGGACATCTGCTTTCCCAAACTTCCCTGAAGATGAGAATCGCCTGAGGTACAAGGCAAGACCCAAGCAGCTCTGGGGCCTTAATGTATAACAAGTCAGGCTGCTGACTAAATGGCCAGCTATTGGAATCTCCCAGTTGTTCTGAGGGAGAAAGAGGAACAATCTCCCCCCGAAAAGCTTTGGAGACCCAATGGGAATTGGAACAGACTTGCTGGCAATGGATTTGGTTTGGCTTTGGTTGTCCAAGACCCACTAATCAGAATATCCAGGAAAGGAGGCGAGGAAATGGTGGTGTGATAACATAACCACTTTACATTAACATACTTTAACATTAGCTGCCTCTTCACATAGGAGAAGCGAAGGGAATACTGCACTTCCACATTTTTGTTCTACAAATGAGGGTCCTGGGGTTCAGAGAAATCAAGAAGCTTGATGGAATTCAGTAACCGGTGAGACTGATGGGACTCGAACCCCAAGTTCTGTCCGGGAACTAACTGCCCAGAACACTAAATCTCAGCTGCTGACAGCAAGGTTGGTAGTTCAAATCCATCAAGTAGTCCCACGGAAGTAACATCTGGCAATCTGCTTTCATAAGGTTTTCAGCCATGAACCCTCTCAGGCAGTTTTACTCTGTCACATCAACATTGTGGTATCTGACAACACTAGAGCATCAGAGTTAAACAACCAGTATTTAAAGTCATGATTGTTTTCTCTTTGTGAAAGAGAACTGAAACCAACTAATACTAATCTATCCAAAAGTAGCTTTTATTTACTCTTTAATATAATCTTGTATATTACTCATGATTCAAGAAAATCCCCCAGAAACTAATTACACACTCACATTCCATTCTACCTTATCCTGGATCTGAAAGACATAATTTTTTCATGAATAAACCACATATTGTCTGTTTCATGGTCCTTTAAAATAGCCATCATGCACTAATTATCCTTCTTGGATTCAATGGTTTTTTGTGTGTTGACCCTGAAATACACACTCATTTATTTTATACAACTAATTGCATTGTCTTTTGTTCTACTTTGTAGAAATACAAGGATGTTAGCTTCCTGCTTGGCTAAGTTACTACGGGTAAATAGGTTGGTGGTTCAAACTCTTCCAAAAAACTTTAAGCACAGGCCTGGTCATCTTAAAAAAAGTCATGGACTCGAAATGCTATGAAGCTGTTCTACTCTCCATGTACAGGGTGTCCATGGGTCAGAATCAGCTTGACAACAACAACAATAAGGATATCTTTCAATAAATCATTTTTTTTAAAATCTGCCAAAGAAAAAAGGTATCAATAACACACACACACACACAGAGAGAGAGAGAGAGAGAGAGAGAGAGAGAGAGAGAGAGAGAGAGAGTTGTTCTGCCATTCCAAAGGAGCTCAGTTCAAATCCACCAGCTGCTTGCTTCTTGGGAGAAAGTTGAGCAGTCTCTTCCATGCAATTTATAGCCTCTAAAAAACTGCTGGAGGGTCCAATTCAACAGCACAGAACCAAAATAACAACTGCATAATAAAAGCTATTGTACTGAGAAAAGCAAAAGATTGGTGAAAGAGAGGAAAATCCTCAACAATATGGATGAACACAGTGACTCCAAGACGGACGGACAATGGGTTGGAGTAAGGTGGCGATCATGATGATAGAGCAAGGTAGGGCAGTGTTCAGATCTGCTGCCCAGAGGGTTGCTATGACTGATTGTCAACTGGACAGCATCTAACTGCTGTAGGAAAAACATAAGAGGAAAATTTAATGAGAATTTCTGCCCCTATGTAAAAACATTAACTGTGCCACCTTCTTAATATAGTTTCCTTTGTTTCCACAGATTGTCCCAAACCTCCAAACATCCCCATGATCATGCTGGGGGTTTCGCTGGCTATTCTTCTCATTGGGGTTGTCTTACTGTGCATTTGGAAGCTGTTGGTGTCATTTCATGATCGCAAAGAAGTAGCCAAATTTGAGGCAGAGCGATCAAAGGCCAAGTGGCAAACGGTAGGTGAAAACTTAGGGGACCGTGCTGGTCTGTGGGAGTAATCAGCCTTGTAGAAAAGATTAGGGGCTCAACTTTCTTCTGTTATAAAAGAAAATTTGACTATTCTGTTCTTTATTCCACTCACTTTGTCCCCAACTTTGACTCCTGTTCTGATTTGGAGCTGAACAACTCTCATACTATACATTTGTTTCTCAGTAAGAATTTGTCTCTCAGTAAGAATGGGAGACTTCCATGGAGTCTCAGGGGGTACAAATGGTTAAATGCTTGATAACTAACAGATTGGCAGTTCAAACCTACACAGAGGGACACTGGAAGAAAAATTTATCTATTTCTTCCCAAAAGTTCACAGCTGTGAAAACTCTATAGCATGTGGTTCTACATTGCAATGACGTAAAGTTGCCACAAGTCAGAGTTGACTTGACAGCAACTGGCAGAGTCATGTGAAATGCATGACATAATTTCTTAGGGACAGCAAGGGATATATTTTATCAGCACTTCCTCACCCCATGAGGATTCCTCAGGCTTCATTTGATAAAGCAGAGGTGCTGCTGTCTCTGAACATTTCCATAAACCAGTTATGTTACAGCTAAAGAGGTAAAGTTCATGGGCAATATTACAATTCATGTCTATTTCCATGGAAATGTCCATTATTTGCAATAGGTTACAAAGCAAACTTCCAAAGACTTTTAAAATACCATCCAGTTAGTTTTATAGAATAGGATAAATTTTATACAGCAACCTCAAGAAAATAGTTTTACTGAATAGGATAAATTTTAAACAGCAACCTCAAGAAAACATGTCAACCTTTATGCGTATGTACTCCATAGATATAATTTCAGCGTCTCCTCTTCACAGCAGGCAAACACAAAACAGGACTCCAATTTTCTGTGTTTCTCTTCCACTAGAGAGATAATTACATTTCTGGAGACTCATAGAAGCAATTTCATGGTTTTAATTTCATCTCTCTATCTCTAATGGTGTGCCCAGCTATCTAATAGCAATTATCTTACTTTGTTGATTCTAAAAACAGTTGATATCATTGGGAAAATATGGACAGCTGCAATGCTCAATGGAAATCACCTGCTCAGATAAATTGATGCTAACTTTTTTCCTATAGGCCTATAGGCCTTACAGTTCCTAAAGCAAAAGAAATTTTCTGTTTTGGATAAGTTTAAATTAATAAATGATGCTTTTATTTTATGTATTTACTTCAAACAAATCACTATATATGGTTATATATAACAATGACCAATGAATTATTTTATCTTCCTGCTAGAAATGTCTTTAGGCACAACAAACCAATTCAATGTATGGATTTTGTTTAGGTCTTAATTTGAATAGCCCAACTGTCAAATGACATTTTTGAGACAACTGTAGTATGAACCAGATATAGAAGGAAGTAAGGGCTAATTATTAACTTAATTAGATGTGATAATATCATCATAGTTTAATTCATAAATATCCATATTTTTAAGACATTAAGAGAGATGTGAAAGGAAATTAAGATGACTATTGGCTTAAAAATACTTTGACCAACAGAGAGAGAAGAAAGGGAGATGGTTGAAACAACTGTAGCAAAATTGTGATAATTGTTGAATTTAGGTGATGTGTTCGTTTACAGTTGCATCTTTTCTTGTATCTCTTTCCTTATTAAGCAAAATCTTTGAGAGAATAAATTGTGGCTTTGCAATGAGAAGATGCTTTGTGTCCATCTCTTGGAAGCTGCAGAATGGGACAAAGTTTTGTTGAACATAGATCTCTGAGTCAGAGTTAACAACAATAATGTAAAATGTAGCCTGGGGGACTAGCCTGAAGATTTAGAAGTTGGTGTTAATGAGGTAATGATTGGGGGACAGTTAACTTCAGCTGATCGCATAGCCATAGATAGAATTTTTAACTCTCACCAGCTGTCAAATGAATGCCTGACAATTGTCAAAAAAGGGAAAGAAAGCAAAAGACAGGTTTTGGCACACGTAAGAAAACAGAATCAGCAGTTAGCTTAGCAACTACCAGCTCTGTGAATTCATCATGGTATTCCCACATAGATGGTAAGGAAACTGAGGCTTAGAGAGGTTAAGGGGTTTCCCAGACTCTTCCTGAATGGCAGACCTGTAACTGGAATCATCTAATTGTAGCCAGCTCTTCCAGGAACAGCCTTTTCTTGACCCTCCCAGAAATAACAAGCAGGTGCTCTGCAGACAAGCATTTGAGCAATTATGTGATGTCTATCTCCTAGCCAGCACGTTTGCATGTTCACATACAAAGGCATAAGTACTGACAAATGATTAATATCTTTAAAATAACATTTTAATTAACAGTTAATTTCCCCAAAACATGAATTGTTCTCCCTTAGGATGCAGAACATGACTGAAATTCAAATGCTGAATTTTTGCTGCTGTTTCTTCATCTAAAATAGGACAAAATCCTGTGCATTAAACAGATAAAAGCATAAATGAAAAATATTATTCCCTTGTTAAATTGAGTTTCTTTGAATAACGAATGTTTGATGTTCTTGACTAGATAATGACTGGGTAATAATTATTCTCTTGGATGCAAAAGAGGTTTAATTCAAATAATTGAATTCAAATTTCACTAATACATCTTTCTGGGAGGGAAGTTGCTCAGTGCATCCACTTTGGGGTCTTCAATTAAATTCAGGTAGTTTTGTTTTGTTTTAATCGAAACCCTGTTCCTCCTTCAAGAAGAGAATCTGGTTTTCAATTTTCCAGCAACAGCAGGGACAGTAAGGACTCGTGAGGTCTCCTGACATGTTGGTCCTCATTGGACACAGGTTCTTAGGGTGAGGAAGAGCTTTGTCTTTGCATTTTGAAACATTTCATCATCGCAATAAAGAAAGGTTGTCTTTCCATTACAGTTTTAAAAATAGCCCCCCTCCCCATCCATATTATTTATGGAAACACAAATGGAAGATATTTAAATTCATCTTTGATTGGACTTTTTCTAGGATGCCAAGTCATTAACTAAAGGCAGAAAATGTTCAGGCTGACATTTCTAGCCGTCATGGATTGATTTTGTACTATGCTAAGCAAATCAGGTCTGCGTTTGGCAGTTAGGCAATCATTAACAGACCTGCGGGTCATGGCAGAGAGCTTTCTCATTACCACTTTTTCAAGCTTTCAGAATGTGCCATTGTACTTGCAGAATCCACAGCCCAAATTAGTATCCCCTGGACTCCTGAGAGAAATCAGCCTGGTGACTCCCTAGATGATTGATCAGATGATTGAGTTGAATCTGACCTTGTCTGAAAATGGAGTGTAGGCCCACTCAAAATGGAACCAAACTATATTTGACATCTCCATTGGCAGTTCTATTTAGGGAGATTGTGACCTTCATGTGACTAGAGGAAGCAACTCTGAATGTTGTTCTGTGTCGTCGAGTCACCCGCGACCCATAGTGACCCTACATATAACAGCTCTGAAGCCTGCCCTGTTCTGACCCAGTCTCACTGATCCCAACACACCAAGCCCTATTGTCCCAGCTACTGTATCAATCCATCCTCCAAAGGAATGTCAATCTGTGCTCCATTGATTATGCAAAGGCATTTAACTGTGTGGATCACAACAAATTGTGGCTAACCTTGAGGTAAATGGGAATCCAAGAACTCTAGATATGATTATGTTATTCAGTCAGTTGAAACTCAAGTCCCTTCTTTATGTTGTTGTTGTTCTTTATAGTCCATATAAATAATATTAAGTGTAGGGTACTGGACATCATATATTGGATATTATATGAGGTGGAACGTGCAAACAAGAACCCAGACCTACACAAACCAGAGAAAGACCTATTGAAAGCCTATTTACCCTTTCAGAATTTCTTGTTCACTAACCCTTTCTTGACCTTCAGGACATCCTCCATCCATCCTCACCAGTCTGCACCCATAATATTTTCCCTCTTTCATATTTAGTTGAGCCTATCTTCTTCTGCAACTGACATAAGCCTCCTGTATCTTAACCTACGTGGAATCCCACAAACATTTTTTGTCTGCACATTTACTGCCCTCTGCAGTTCATTGTCCTTTGAGTTAAGACCACATCAGCCTCTTCTTCACCCTCCAAATATAAGCTCAATGCAGTCCATGCATAAGTCCATGCAGTGTTTGACATAAAAAAAGTACTGAAGGTTCCTCAGATGTATCCAGGCTGGTTACCCAGTAGTGAAAGCAATGTGGTGACTTTATATTCATCCCTCACCCTACTTCAGTCAATGGGCCTCTTTCCTGACTGTACTCTGTATATAGTGATATCATCTCCTCCCAAAGATATTTATATAGGCAACACGTCGCTCAGAAATCAGTCATTCTGGGAAACATAGAAACGAATGCAAGTGTAATCCCATGCTCACAATGAAGACACTGAAGAGAACCTAAGGGCAGTGAGAGGAGAGGTAATGTTGAAGAGGCCAAGAAATGCCAAGTGCATTCACTTCTTATGAGAGCTGAAGGATTGTACCAGGAAAACAGATACAATTACGTATTTTCAAATATATGCCTACCAATTGTTACCAACTCTGTAATTCATGGTGATTAGAAAGTCAACATAAAAAAAATTAGTAATTCAGAGGATCAGAGGTGGTACTTGGACTTGTCCTCTTAAGTGAACAAATTGTTGTGTACAATTGAGATGAAACTGACTCATACCTGACCTTTCAGTGGGTTTTCAGAGGCATAAATTATATGGAAGGAATTTGTTCATTTTTCCCTGGTGGATTCAAACCACATGTGTTTGAGTTAGCAGTGCAACTCCTTACCACTAGGCTACCAGAGCTTCCTTCGAGTGAGCTTGTGATGTGCCTCAGAGTTGGAACTACCCATAGCTGACCCTCCAGTGGGTTTTCAGAGCTAACATAGAAACTTTAAAACCACCAAAACTCTGGGAGAAAATATCTTTACAACCCTTTTCAGGATATAAAGAGTCTGCAGATGGGACAATGGATAACATACTTGAAGGCTAATTTAAAGAATAGAGCTTGGAGCCTATACATAGGCAACATGGAAGCAAGAGCTGGTCATCTACATCCAAAAATTCAGCCTCTGAAAATGCTATTGAGCACACTTTCAATTTAACACACATGGAGTCTTTGTTAGTCTAAAATTACTCACTGGTAGGTAACAGAGAGAACACAAAAGCAAAACAAAAAATCTGGACAACCAGAATCTAAAAGAAAAGGTAATTCCAAATGGAAAGTCATAAATTAGAACTAATGAAAAGAGGTGACATTTCTTGAGCACTTGTAATGTGTTAGGTGCCGTGCTAAAGTACTTTTCTTCATGTATGAGCCAGATACTTTTATTATCTCTCTTCTCTTGGTTGAATATATTAAAACTTAGAGTTGTTAAAAAACCCTTTGTCCTTGAGTTGGTTGCAGCTGAATAGAACTAGGCCATTAGCTTTTCTTAGAGGCAGATTGCCTTTCTTCTGCAATGCCACTGGATGAGTTTAGTTCACCATCCTTCAGGTTCGAAGTTGAGCACCCACTCTTGGTGCCATCCCCAGACTTGCTTGAGTAAAGTCTGGTGATAAAGCTGTGGTAGGAACCCAGGCTATCATCAAAGCTTGTGTGATCAACTTTGAGTTGTGTGATAGAAGAACCATGCTTTTCCCAAACATCTTGCACCTGTGTGGAGCATCTAACCCAAAAGATAGAGATTGAGCAATCACACTAGATGTTTCTTAAAACATTTAGAAAGGCTTAGTCCTTTATGGTCCTTCTGGATATCACAATGCTAGCACCACATGTGATCCTCCTGGATTGTCACACTGCTGTCAGCACCTAGAAATAGATCTCCAGCCCCAGGAGCACAGTCGGAGCTATTGAGACCATCACATACAACCTCCCCATTGTACCCAGGGCAAAACCTGCCTTGGAACCGGGACTTCTCCATCAACACAGTGACCCTCCACATTGGTCTCTTACATACTATTGTTTTGCTACTGTTATTCTTTAATGAACAAAGCTGACTGGGTTTTGTGTTATCCAGACCAAATGCTATCTCTCCTGGGATTCTTCCCCTGATTCCCCTTGACAACTAGTTGCTCATCCTTCTGAAACTTGATCTCATTTAAAAAATATTATTATCTATGTCTCTGATTGCTCTTTCAAGCAACACATATCTTAAAGAAAGAGATTATATCATCTATTTTCGATGCTTAGTGCGTAAGGTGTTGCATTGCTGACCCAAAAGCAAGTAGTCCGAATCTACCAGCTGTTTGGGGGGAGAAAGATGAGTGTTCTCCTTCCATGCAAAATGTTGTTGTTGTTGTTGTTGTTGTTAGGTGTCATCAAGTCAAGTAAGACTTGCATTGACCTCATAAACAACAGATCTTAATCCTGTCCTATCTTATGCCTTCATCATCATCTCTGACACTCTTAAGCCATTAGTGCAGTTACTGTGTCATTCCATTTCATTGGGTATCTTCCTCTCTTTTGCTGACACTACCCTTCCAAGAATGATACTCCTTTTTGAAGAACAGCCTCTCCAAGCAACATGTCCAAAGTATGACAGATGAAGCTTTGCCATTCTTGCCTCCAAGGAGCACTCTGGCTGCACAGTTTTCGAGACATATCTCCTTGTTCTTTTTACAGCCCATGGGATGGTCAGTACTCTTCTCCAACACTACAGCTCAAAGACATAAATTCTTCTTCTCTCATCGTTATTCACTATCTGGCTTTCAGATGTATAGCAAGTGATGGAAAAGACTATGACTTGAATCATGTGCACCATAGTTTTCAGACTAACGCTACTGCTCTTCAGTATTTTGGAGAGGTCTCTGACAGTGGACTTGCCCAAAGCAATACATCTTATCTCCTGACTGCTGGTACCAAGGGTGTTGATTGCGGAGCCAAGTTAGATGAAATCATTGACAGTTTTAATCCTTTATCCATCTAATATGATGTCATTCATTGGCTCAGTGGTAAGACCCTTTGTTTTCTTGATGTTAAAACATTATCCCTGTTGGAGGCTCTAGTCTTTGATCTTTTGCAACTTCAGGTCCTCTCACTTTCATCAAGTAAAGTTGTGTCATCTGATATTTAGAATGCATGTATGAAACCGGCTCTGCATATTACAAAATAAAATGAGGGTGAGTATATTTTAAAATCTGAAAAGTAAAAAATATTAAATAAAACAAGATTATCCAAATGGCTTCCAATATTGACCTTAACTTTGCTTTCCAATTTGTAAGAGTAATGAAGTTATTTAGGGATATTAAAATAGCATAATAAAATTGCATGCTTTTACTTGAACCGTTTTTCCTTTCTCTCTTTTTCTTTTTTTAGGGAACCAATCCACTGTACAGAGGCTCTACCAGTACTTTTAAAAATGTAACCTATAAACACAGGGAAAAGCAAAAGGTGGACCTTTCCATAGATGGGTAGGACTATTTTATGCAGCACCAAAGTCTGTTTCACTGATATGAAATGTTAATGCACTATTTAATTTTTCTTGCTTTGTTCCATCGAAATGAGGTTGGTTTAAGATAATAATAGGTCATTTGGAGATCAGTTTTTCTCTGTATGAAAGTTAGAAACTATGTTGGCAGGTTCAAAATAATCAAGACGAGGAATATCCATAGTAAGGAGGTGACTTTGGGGATCATTTGAGGAATATTAGCTGTTGCATTAATGCCTCAAAAAATCATCAGAATGATTCATGGAGGTCTGATTTGCATTTGAATAATGTGTGGAATGAGAATCTCATTTGTTTCAGGAATACAGCTACTTGAACTCTTTGTCTCAGCAAAGTCACCAAGTCCATTGCTCACACTGTGTACCCCCACTTGCCAAATAATTTTTAAACTTTTCTGTATCTGCCTTTTCCTAAAGGGAATTTTTAAAAAAAAAAATCGATGGGATGAAACTATGATTTTTCACTGTCACTGAAAGAAGCAAAAAAAAAAATCTACCCCAAGTGTAAGGACGAAATTTGAACATTAATATTTTTATATAAGTATTTCCAGATGAAGACTAATTCATAAATTAGAAAGATGCTAGTATAATAGAAAAATAAAGCTATCATTTAGTTCATTTTTAATTACTCGAGGAGAAAATCCCTACATAGTTTCTTTTTTTACACTACTATTTCTCCCATATTTTTCATCATTTTCCTCAATTTTACCGTTATCTAAATGCTGTAGGTATTATATGAAAATTCTGATTTTTTTTTATAAAAACTTACCAAAAATCAGTGATGCTTTATGAAAAGAGCTCAAATAGTACACAAGGCACATAGATTAAAAAGAATAGGATTTTCACTAGTTTCAGATTAAACACACTGAGATTATTCAAGTCTTTCATGAACTCCATCAGCCTTTACATCACAGGCTTTTGTAGAGTTATTCTTTTCCTCTCTGCTTAGCACAGCATTCACATTTTAACTGCACATGGTAAATATGTATCAGACATTTGCTTTTAAATGTACAATTTTACCTGCAAAGTATATATAGATAACTAGGGAACCATAAATTGATATTAGAATATTATCTCTTAATATTAATTCTACATTAATAGGGAATTTCATCCAATTTGGCCCTCATAACTGTAATGGAATTCAGGATAATTTTGTCTTACTTTACAGATGAAGAAACTAAGGCTTGGAGTGAGTAGGAGAGCAGGGCCCCAAATCTAGACATCCTCACTCCAAGTCATTTCTTAATTTTTTTTAAACAAGATGGGGTTTATTAGTGGAGTGTTGGTATCATTTAACAACTTCACTAAATGATAAATACCAATTATTTGAAAATATGCTGAAACAATCAGTAGCATCTAAACTTCTGTAATATAGGTGAGGTATTATACTTTCATACATTGTTTATTATCTTTCAATAAATTGTGGTGTGAAGCCTTTTACTAGGTGACAGTCCACTATGTAATGAAGGTTTCATTCTTACCCATTAGATTGTTACAGACTCCTCCATACGTTTCTTTAGTTCTTTTACCCAGAGAGAGCTGTATGCGTTTGCCCACTTGGAGGCTTCCTGTTTTTTTTCTTGTCTCTAACTCAAACACTTGGCAGATGCACTGCTATGTTAAAAGAAGAACTCATAAGCAGTCACTAAGATACATGCAGGGGTGAGGCATATCATCCTTGACCAAAGCCCAGGATCTGGGAAGAATCTAGAGCAAAGGCAAGTTTCACTAATAGGGGTAGAACAGTTGTAGTCACCTCTGCATGGGACTTTTTGTGATGTTTGTTGTATTATTACTGGAATGGGATTTTAGAAAACATAAGTTTCCTTTGTGTGTCTACTGGAGACAGTAGAAAAAAATCTGCTATTTTTCTGAATACTGTTTTGGCTCAAGGCTGGACCTTGAAAAGGCCAAAACATTAATAGTAGTACTTCTGTTCACTGAAGATTTATGTTACATGAAGATAAAATGGAGTTTTTTTGTAAGTTGTTTTATTGTATTTTGTGTTGACATAAATAAACATGGTAATTTAAATAACAAGCCTTAGGTGAATGATCATTCCTTTTATTTACTGACACAAATTCCTCTTCTTGGATATCTGGATCCTTCTGTGACCTGCTCTCACTGCTAGTCTCAACCAGGGATCAAAGAGAAGAGCAGAAAAAAGACACAGAAGGCAGGAGACCAAATGGAATGATTGTCATTTGCAGCCCAATTAGGACACCTGCATCATCCTACATTTTGTAAAACCAAGTTCTTCAAGGTTCAGAACTGGTTTCCTGGGCATTCATTTGGTGAATTCCAGGGTGTCCTTTTACAAATCAGGAAAAGTAAGCAGGAGGAACCAAATGCTCACAGAAGGAGTGAGCTGAGGAAAAGTCATTTTAGTAGAAAGAACAGGGAAAGTCCAAGCAGAGTCCTTAATCATACTATTTTTTATATGTCAGTAGTCTTTGATTGGTACTAAGAAATCACATTTCTCCTTTATTTTCCCAACTGCAAGATGGTGACTGTCCATCTCTTCTAGCATTGTCCCAATCACTGACATAATAGTAAGGGCCCAATATATTTATCCAGCTGCTATACAGAGGACCACACAACACAAGAGGTAAGGACCAGAGCCTTAGCCCTCTATGGATGAACTTGGATCAATTAGGGACAGAGCTGGGAAGGATCCGGCAGATGAGCCAGGAGTGAGCAGCCCCCTGTGTTTTCCGGGGGAGCAGTGTCCACCATGCTGCACCATCTTGTGTTTGTTGGCCTTTTCCTGATCCCTCCCTCCTCCTACTTCCTCACACCCCACCTCCCAATAAAGCATTAGCAAGAACTTTGGTTCAAAGTTTTCTGTTTTAAACTATGCAGTGAAAAGAATGACTGCAAAGCAGGACAAAATACTGAGTGGCACCTTTGCTAGAACTGTAAGGGGAGACCTGAATAAGGAAGGAAGTGAGAATGTGCAAAGACCTGAGACGTCAGCAGTGTCATGTTTAAGAAAGATCAAGAAGGTCAGCTGGGAAGATGGGGAAAGAGGGCAGGCAGGGAAGTGGTGGAGAAATAAACAGCTGTTAAAAATCTAATTGGTTGACTTAACTGAGTCAGTAAAGAAAAAGTAAGATTTTGCGTACTTGGTAATTCTGTTGTTGGGAGGTGCTGTTGTGCTGCCTATAACCTGTAGTGACCTAATGGACACCAGATGGAAATCCTATCCAGTGTCATAATCTTTCCCCCTGTTAAAATCCATCACGGTGGTCACTGTGTCAATACATCTCATAAAGGGTTCCAATCACTCTCACTGACCCTTCAGTTTGCTCCACATGATATCTTTTTCTAAGGACTGGTCCTTCCTGACAACACAACCAAAGCTGTGAGATGAAGTTTCACCACCTTTGCTTCTAAGGAGCACCCTGGTTGCACTTCCTCTAAAACAGAGTTATTTGTTCTTTTTGTTGCCAAGATTCTTGGTCAACAATTCACAGTTCAAAGGTATCAGCTCTTTTCCAGCTTTTCTTACTCATTATAGAGCTTTCACATGCATGGGAAGCAACTGAAAATATCATGGCTTGAGTCAGGCACACTGTAGGCCCTGGGCCCTTGTATGCTATATCTTTAAACTGATATCCTTGTTCTTTTAAGTCCTTTAAAGAGGTCCCTGATGGAGACTTGTCTATGGGGGAAAATATCATTTAAAGTATTATTGCACAGTAATTGTATTCAAAGGGGTGCAGCCCAAATTAAGTCAAAATGGGCTAATAATGTGAAGGGCTAGAGTTGTTACCTACTCGTGCTCTCTTTCTTTCTCTCTCTCTCTCTCTCTGAATCTCTCAGGAGAAACTGGAAGGAAATGTTTAACACTTGCAGCAATGTGATATTATGTCCCACAGGAGCCAAAAGGGTTTTACACCAGGAAATAGCTTCCTTCCCAGCCAATCCCACAAGTCCTGAGACAGAGCTAGGCTGTATGACTGTCTCAAGATGGGAACCAATAAAGACAGTGTCCACCGTCCCCTGGGGAGTCACTCTCTTTTTCTTCTGGCAATATGCCCTAAAGGTTTGAATCCTATCTTTCCAGAGATGCTGTCCCCCTTTCCTCTTTTTTTCACTCTAACTTTTTTGCACAGCCCATCACTACTTTTCACCAGCTATGCCTCTGTATTATGGCTTTAATAAACCCCTTTCACTTGTTCTGTAAACTTGCTGCTGCTGTATCTCAGGGGAGAGGGCCTCAATTAGTCACCTCAGCTCACCCCCTCACTGGAAATACCAGCTGGTGGTGAGGAGATAAAGAGAATACTGGTTTTAGCACATGTCAATAAGAACCTTGATGACATACATAGTGGTTAAGGTCTGCAATTTGATCCCATGAGCTACTCCATGGGAGAAAGATGTTGACAGTCTACTTCTGTGAAGATTTACAGCCTTGGAAATTCGAGGGCCTTTCCACTCTATTTACTAGGGTGGCTATGAGCTGAAATTGACAACATTTCAATAGGTTTTGGATTGTGTTTTATTAAAATTTTATTGTTGTTTGGTTTAGCAAGTTAGACTCTTATTTGACAATTTCCATGCCAATTGTTTGGTGATATGAGTTGCATATTTTACAAACTGACAAAATTGTGTTCAGGTTGATCCATTTCCAGTACTATAGTTCCCCTGCCTCCTTGTCTTCTCATCATTGCTTAAGAATACATGTTGACTGCTGGGTCTCATAGAGATGGCTTCTCAGTTGAGAGCTGTTTTTATTTAGTTTGCTACTCTCATAGGAAATCTGTGGCGTAGTCAGTAGCGTGCTGTGCTGCTAACCAAAAAGCTGCATGTCTCTATCCACCAGCTTCTATGTGAGGAAAGACAGACAGTCTCCTTCTGTTAATACTTAAAGACTGGAAGCCCAATGGAGAGCCACTGTGAGGTTTTGGTTACCTTAATTCCTTAGCTTATTCCTGATGAGCAGAAATCAACAGTTGTATCTTGGA